CTCCTGTTGAGAGGTGTTAAGCTGTGCCTGGTTGTTTCCTCACTGCTGTTTTTGCTGTTGTAATTTTAGAGTTTTTTAATACTGGTAGCCAGATTTTGTTCATTTTCATGGTCTCTTCCTTTCTGTTGAAATTGTCCACATGCTTGTGGATTTCAATGGCTTCTCTGTGTAGTCTGACATGGTGGTTGTTGGTGTGGTCCAGCATTTCTGTGTTCTCAAATAATATGCTGTGTCCAGGTTGGTTCATCAGGTGCTCTGCTATGGCTGACTTCTCTGGTTGAAGTAGTCTGCAGTGCCTTTCATGTTCCTTGATTCGTTTGGGCAATGCTGCGTTTGGTGGTCCCTATGTAGACTTGTCCACAGCTGCATGGTATACGGTAGACTCCTGCAGAGGTGAGAGGATCCCTCTTGTCCTTTGCTGAACGTAGCATTTGTTGGATTTTCTTGGTGGGTTTGTAGATTGTAGAATATTATTATTATTATTATTATTATTATTATTATTATTACTATTATTATTACTATTATTACCATGCCACTCACTCATCACCTGGAGCAATGCTGGCTGAAGCAACAAGGCTATCATGGGTCCCCATCTACACTGCCATATATTGCAGTATCAGAATGCATTTAACTGGATTATATGAGTCTACATTGCCATGCAATGCAGTTAAACTAAATTCTGAAACTGCATTATATGGCAGTGCAGATAGAGCCAGAAAATGGAGGAGAGGGAGGAGAGGGCGATTCCTCTTCTCTCTGCTCCTGGATCTCTCTGGTACCTTGGCAACATCACTCCAGGTGATGAGTGATCAACATGAGTCATATCATGGCCTCCAGCCACTTTGACATGGAGACTGAGGCCCCTTCCACACAGCTGAATAAAATCCCACATTTTCAGCTTTGAGCGGGAATATATGGCAATATGGATTCAGATAATCCAGTTAAAAGCGGATATTGTGGGATTTTTTGCCTTGATATTCTGCATTATATGGCTGTGTGAAAGAGCCCTGAGAGAGAATGGTAAGGATGACTGTCCACTGTTCTGGCATTGCTGGATGATCGTGACCAGTTACCTCTGCAGTGGCCAATCTGGCATTCGCCACACCAGATCAGCCCATGAATAAGGAGTCAGTGTAGAACTGCCCATAGACATTTGTCCGGTGTACAGGTAATAGTAATCTCAAAACAGTCTCATTACTGTATATACTTGAGTATAAGCCTAGTTTTTCAGCCCTTTTTTTAGGCTGAAAAAGTTCCCCTCAGCTTAAACTCAAGTTAAGGTTATTTATTATTTTCCTCTGTTATTATTTTTATTACATTTATAATTTTACTCTATTATTATTATTATTATTATTACATTTTTATTATACTCTATTTATTATTGTTACTACATTTTTTTACTTTACGATATTATTACTGGTATTAGTACATGTCCATTATTATATATTATTATTATTATTATTATTATTATTATTATTATTATTATTACATTTACTATTTTACTCTCTTTATTATTATTGGAAGGATACGTACGCACATTTACACTGAAGAAGGTTAGAATAATGGTTTAATCAGAGTTGAGCAGTCTTATCTTAAATTACAGCTTTATGTAAATATTTAATCTACTGATGCCTCAATTAATCTAATTTTAATGGTATCTATTTTTATTTTGAAAGTTACCAGTAGATGCTGCATTTCCTATCCTCGGCTTATACTCAAGTCAATACGTTTTCCCAGTTTTTTGTGATAAAATTAGGTGCCTCGGCTTATATTACGGTCGGCTTATACGCGAGTATATACGGTAGTTTCCTATTTGTTCCTGAGTCCAATTCAAGGTGCTGGTCTTATCCATGAAGCCTTAAAGGGGTCTGACAAAAAGCCTAAGTCCATCATCTCAGGGCTTATTGTATGGGCCATCTCTTAGGCCCCTTTTACATTGAAGTAGATAATCCGCATTATCTTCTTTGAACTGGATTATCTGAGTCTACACTACCTTATAATCTAAAAGCAGATAATCTGGATTTAATATGGCAATGTAGAAGGGGCCTTAGAGAGTGCTGCTTAAAGTCATGGTCCATGGACCACTGCCGGTCCCTAAGCCACTGGCTGTCAATGCCTAGCAAATTTCTAGGGAAAAAATACCCAATGGGCACAAAAATGGTATCAGTTCCTCACATGCTAGGAAGAATAATTGCCAGTCCCTGCACCAGATAGTCTGGAGTGTAAAACATGTTTTATGCATTGTCAGAGGCTTTCATGGCCGGAATCACTGGGTTGTTGTAGGTTTTTTCGGGCTATATGGCCATGTTCTAGAGGCATTCTCTCCTGACGTTTTGCCTGCATCTATGGCTCACTACCTCTGAGGATGCTTGCCAACAACCCAAAACATGTTTTATTTCTTTGTTAATTGTATGTTTTAATGTTTTTAATGTAAATCACTTCAAGCACACAATGATCTGACAATGATTTTTTAAAAACCAAATGAGTTTCACATCTCGTCCTCTATAAGCCCAATACTTATAAAAGAGTCAAAGAACTATTGTCTGCTTGAATTCTGGGCATCGCCCGAGTTTCTTCTTCAGTCAGCTTTCCTGCATGCTTCAGCAAAGACTACAAAGAAATAAATGCATGATACATTAAGAAACATAATGATCCCTGATCACTGGGGATGTTTCTCACAATCCCGTTTTCAAAAGAAGACAGCTTTCAGAACTAGAGGAAGGGTCGGAAAAAACGAATGTGGAGTTTTGCTGTTTTGCTGTTTCTGTTTTGCTAGAAAGAGAAGCATTATCTGATCATTCAGTTTATGTCCAACCCATCCAAAGATATCATGAAAAATACTGTGTGTCCTGTAATGTGTAGTGTAAAATTAAGGCAACGTAACAACTATTTATCAATTATATCCATTTCTTGAGCACCTAAATCCAATACTGGATGGACTGGATGGAAATTTGTGCAAAATGAGGAATGGAGATATATGAGGGGTATTTTTAAGTAAGGTCCGTTTTGTTGTAGACACTAGTAGTTCGCGCGCATATGGCAACGAGCACGTGCATCGTGTACCGGCATGCCTCGGGAACAACTGTGCTTAGTTTCCGCTCTGTTGCTAACCTGTACGGTTCTGTTCTGTGCTTTAAAAATGTTTAAGACTATCAACTCACCCTCCGCATGTGAGGTTCGCTCAGTGATACGGTTTTTGTCAGCAAGGAACCTGCCTGCTGCAGAAATTCATCGACAGATTTGTGAAGTGTACGGTGATACTGTTATGAGTGAAAGCAAAGTGCGTAAGTGGGTACGACAATTCAAAGATGGCCGTGACAACGTCCATGATGAGGACCGCTCCGGTCGCCCTTCTTTGATTACAGACGATTTGGTGGCTTCAGTTAAAGTGAGGATTTATGAAGAGGGTATTTTAAAATTGGTTCAGAGGTATGGTAAGTGTCTGAACAAACTTGGCAACTATGTCAAAGAATAGAGTGAAGTATGTACTTTCTGAAAATAAATTTACTTTTTTGAAATAAACTTTCGTTGCGTACTTATGTTCCAACGGACCTTACTTAAAAAATACCCCTTGTATATTCCCAGTTTAAACAAAGCACTTTTAAACTGTGATTTACAGAAGACGAGTGGGGCCCCTTCCACACAGCTGAATAAAATCCCACATCTTCTGCTTTGAACTGGAATATATGGCTGTTTGGACCCAGATAACCCAGTTCAAAGCTGATATTGTGGGATATTCTATCTTGATATTCTGGGTTATATGGATATGTGGAAGGGCCCTCGGAGACAGAAAGGTACGAGTAAAACACCAGCAGTTGAGAGATGTTTGTATTTAGCAACATCATGCAGTATTTAGCAAAAAGATGGGGAAAGCATGGATGCCCAAAAAGCATCTGGACATTTTCTCTAGTCCCCTAATTCTGCCCCATTGAAAAAGAATTCAGGCAAAATCTTGTGATCTCCAGGAGAAGAGACTTCACATTAAAAAAGACAAATCCCCTATTTCAGTGGTTCTCAACCTGGGGTCCCCAGATGTTTATGGCCTTCAACTCCCAGAAATCCTAGCAGCTGGTAAACTGGCTGGGATTTCTGGGAGTTGTAGGCCCAAAACATCTGGGGACCCCAGGTTGAGAACCACTGCCCTATTTGACACTTTGTTTTTTTCCTTGAAATTTCAAAGAACAGAATCATAAGTAGATATTATTTTGGAGGGACTGTGGTTGTGGTGGTGGTTGGTTGGGTGGGGGACTGGAATAATCCACATTGGAAACCATAAGGATCTGGCATCAGAAAACTGGTTCCCACATGCCTAGAAGATCCTCTCTCCTGCTTCGAGGTATCTATGGCCTGTGGTCAAAGCATTTGTTTATTTCAGATGGGGGGGGGGTCTACTTGTAATCTGCTTATATTTGTAAACAAGTAGCCCCGGTGGTGTGGGTTAAACCTTCTGCTGGCAGGACTGAAGACCAACAAGTAACAGGTTCAAATCCGGGGAGAGCACGGAAGAGTTCCCTCTGTCAGCTCCAGCTCCCCATGCGGGGTCATGAGAGAAGCCTCCCACAAGGATGGTAAAACATCAAAACATCCAGGCATCCCCCTGGGCAACGTCCTTGCAGATGGCCAATTCTCTCATACCAGAAGCGACTTGCAGTTTCTCAAGTCACTCCCGACACGGAAAAAAAATCTGTAAACAGAGCAGATTACAAAGCCGTTGTGTGAAAGCAAAACTGTGTTGTTGCTCTAAATGTTTTGAAGGGAGTGGATACTTTATTCTTTTCATCATGCTCATGTCAATCATAAATCAATAATGGTTAGTGATGTGAGGAAGCCAAGCAGGGAATACTGGAACAATTTCACTATAATGTAATGCAGAAGCATACCATTTTATATCCCAAGAACTATGTGAAAGCAGCACAGACTAGAAAATATGATCTATCCCTAAGGCCAAAAGACAGATAAATTATCAAGAAACAGAGAAGCACTTTTCAGTGTTTTCTTACCAAGAGGTGGTCCGTGAGTTATTAGAATATCTATTCCATCTGGAATTAGGTTCCATTTCTCTAAGAGTGCTTGACCTCGTGGAAGATTAAAGCCCCAGCCATAAAACCAAGGTTGCCTGCCAAAAAAGGGAGAGATTGTCTTCAGTGCTTGGGTTAGCCAGCTAAGACCAAACACCTGGGAATGGTTTCTATACAATTTTGTACTACAGAGACATACATACACTCCCCTCAGAACAGTTGTGCTGCTGGTTAACTTAAGATTTTGCTTTAGCTGTCAATGAGTGTGTGAGTGTTAAGTTTTGTGTGCAACTTCAGCTATGAAGTCTTCCTTTGTTATCTGCCAAACCACTATTTCACGCTTTACAACTGCTTCTGTATTCATGATATGCCAGAGTGAAATTTTAAAAAAACTAGACAAGTCTAACAAAAAAGAAATATTGTTGTGGATGATCAGCAACAGTCCAGTGCATCCAGATATGTCTACACCACACTGCAGGGCTGATATCTATCAGGGGACAGTCACACCACACAATTATAGCACTTCGGAATGCCATAGTTCCATCCTATAGAATCAACCTGGGGGTCGAGACCCCTGGAGGGGTCACAAAGGGGTGTCAGAGGGGTCACGAAAGACAATCAGAAAACTCAACATTTTCTGTTGATTATGGGGTTCTGTGTGGGAAGTTTGGCCCAATTCTATCATTGGTACGGTTCAGAAGGTGTTTTAATTGTAGGTAAACTATACATCTCAGCAACTACAACTCCCAAATGTCAAGGTCTATTTTCCCCAAACTCCACCAACAACTACCAAAAATGTGTAGTTCACATTTGGGCATACTGAGTATTTGTGCCATGTTTGGTCCAGATACATCATTGTTTAAGTCACAGTGCTCTCTGGATATAGGTGAACTACAGCTCCCAAACTCAAGGTCAATGCCCACCAAACCCTTCCAATATTTCTTTTTTGGTCATGAGAGGTATGTGTGCCAAATCTGGTTCAATTGCATCATTGGTGGAGTTCAGAATGCTCTTTTAATTTAAATGAACCATAAATCCCAGCAACTACAACTCCCAAATGACAAAATCAATCCCCCCAACCCCCACCAATATTCTGATTTGGGTGTATGGGGTATTTGTGCCAAATTTGGTCCAGTGAATGAAAATACATCCTACATATCAGATATTTACATTATTATTAATAACATTAGCAAAATTACAGTTATGAAGTCACAACAAAAATAATGTTGTGGTTTGGGATCATCACAACATGAGGAACTGCATTAAGGGGTCACAGCATTAGGAAGGTTGAGAACCACTGCTATAGATGTTTATAGTTTGATGAAGCACCTCAGCTCTCTGGCTGAGAATTCTAAGTGTCCTTCCCGAAACTTCCAGTTCCAGGAATCCTCAAAATGGAACTACAGTGGTCAAAGTGGAAACACAGTTGTGTAGTGTGAAAAGATCCATGGTTGAGGACTGGAGCTTCACATTGATTGTGCTGTGCGGCGCTGACGCTGAGTGGCCAAATCGCACAACTGAATGCACACCCAAACATTCAGTAAATTCACAAAGCAATCCCATGCCCATTACATGGAAATATGTGTCACATTAAGGGTGGAAACAATATTTGAATGCTTGAATGAGGCATCTGAGTGTCCAAAAACATCAATAAGGTGAATCTCCTCAAGCCCCCTTTTCTTCTCCCCCTCAAATAGATTTTTCTCCTTATAACCCATGTCATGTTGGAGAGTGAGGAGAGAGCCATAGATCTGGAAGGCTACACCAGTAAATGTGAAGAGGAAAGGCAGCTCCCGTGTTCATGGCTGTCTGCCCCTGCTAACATTGCTGAGGCCAGAGGAAAGGCAACTGAGGATCTCCCTTTCCCCTCTCCTGATGTTAACTCCTTGTAAAACCTCTTCAGAAATGGTGTAGAGATAGTGACAGATTATAATGTTATTGTTTTAAGTTGATGCATGTTTTAACTATGTTTTTATTGTTGTTAACAAATTTTAACTGTTGGAATATACAGCCCTATACGGTTCTGGTCCAGCTTACTTGTCAGCACATATCTCCCCCTATGTCCCACCTCGAAACTTACAATCTTCCGAGGAGGCCCTGCTCTCGATCCCACCTTCGTAGCAAACACGCTTGTTGGGGACGAGGGACAGGGCCTTCTCGGCGGTGGCCCCCCGCCTGTGGAACTCACTCCCCTGCTAAATTAGGTCAATGGCTTCCCTCCTTTCCTTCAGGAAAAAGTTGAAGACGTGTCTATGGCACCAGGCATTCGGATAGCAGGCTGACAATAGAAATGACGATAATGCTATGGAGCTGGCTGCCGTTCATTTTCCGGTCCCAATTCAAGATGCAGGTTCTTACCTACAAAGCCCTAAACAGTTTGGGACCCGCCTACCTTTGTGACCGCATTTCTGTATACGAACCCACACGATCTCTTCGATCATCTCGAGAGGCCCTGCTCGCGCTCCCACCTCCATCGCAGGCGCGATTGATGGGGACAAGGGAGAGGGCCTTCTCGGTGGTGGCCCCTCGACTCTGGAACTCACTCCCCAAGGACATCAGGCATGCCCCAACTCTGGCAGTCTTTAGGAGGAGCCTGAAAACATGGTTGTTCCAGTGTGCCTTCCCAGAATAAGGAAACTCCCAGCAATATGTCCCTAAATGCACTTTATCAATGATCTAGGATTGTCTGCATGCCCTTTCCTCTTCGAAATTCTATCCTAGTTATATATTTCACCTGGTCATGCTCAGCATTATTTTTTAAAATTTTAATTATTACATTTGGCCCAGCCATAGGTTTTTAAGCATTGTTGTGCTATTGTTAATGCTTACTGCTTGTTTTTGTTTATGAGTTTCATTTTATTGTTTTGTATTGCTGTTATTGTTGTTTTGCTAATGTATTGTGGGCTCGGCCTCATGTAAACCGCACCAAGTCCCTTGGGGAGATGGTAGTGGGGTACAAATAAATTATTATTATTATTATTATTATTATTATTAAAAGGACTATGGAAGGCTTCTGATTAAATTGTTCATCGTAGAACGCGGACTTGACATGCCAACTAATTCAATTTGTACTATCTTAAATGGTTTTTAATCTGATTTTAATGTTTTAACTTATTATGTAATTGTTGCTTATTTGTTGTATATGTGGGGCATTGAATTGTTGCCGGATGTAAGCCACCCTGAGTCCCCCTTGATATTGTCCATCCATGCAGGGGCGGCTCGTCCATTACGTGAAGTAAGTGGTCGCAGAACACTTTTTTTGCCAGGGGCGCAGAGGCGCCTCTGTAAATGCCCCTCGACCGCCACTTGAGGAGCACCCCCTCAGCTCACAACAGCCCTAGCAGTCCGGGGGGAGCCTCGGCTTTTTTGCCTCGCTGCTGGGCGATCCTCTTCCCAAAGGGGCGGGCCCTTGAGCCTCGCCTAGCCCCTCTCGTTCCTGCTCCACCCGGCCACCGGGTGCGCGAGCAGAGCCGGCACTCAATCGTTCTCTGCGTTCGATCCCTTCCCCATGACCGGCTCCCTTTCCCGATCCCCCGGCGCTCCACCCGCCTCCTCTCCTCTCCCCAATCCGCGGGTGGGCCAAGGGGCGGAGCCACCATGCCTGGCCCGCTTTGGGTCCGAGGCGTGTCTGAAGACCCCAGCGTGCGCACCAAAAGTCGCCTCTTCTCCTGACTTTCTCTTCAGCCATTGGGACCGAGAGAGAGAGAGAGAGAGAGAGAGCCCCTCCGGCTGGAGGTATCTCCCACCTCCGCTCCCTCCTTTGTTTTTGCGCCTACCTTCAGGAAAGGTGGGCATCTCCACCTCTCTCTCTCTCTCTCTCTCTCTCCTCTTGGTCCCAATGGCTGAGGAGAAAGTCAGGAGAAGAGGTGACTTTTGGTGCACACGCCGGGGTCTTCAGGCATGCCTCCGGACCCAAAGCGGGCCAGGCAAGGGAGCAAGTGCGGCAAGTGTAGTTACTGGGATGTATAGTTCACCTACAATCAAAGAGCATTCTGAACTCCACCAATGATGGAATTGAACCAAATATGGCACACAGAACTCCCACGACAACAGAAAATATATATCAATGATTGGTTGGGGGGGGGGGGCCAAAATACTGTTTGCTTACCATTGAAAATTACCTAGGGCCACCTCTGGGCGGGGTTCAAATATTTGAAATAAATAAATAAATAAATAGTATGTTTTTATGTTGTAAGCCACCTTGAGTCCACATGCAGAGAAAGGCGGGGTAGAAATATTCTAAATAAAATAGATTTTGTTATCTATACACGGTATGTGTTTATGGTGACAAATGTCAAAGAAAATGTAAGTATTACTTAGCATGAACCATTCGTTAAATTGATTATCTTAGAAAACATTTTGGCAGCTACGGTTTAAAATCCACTATGATATGGCATACCAAAAATGATCAAAACTGCCTTTTGGTAGTTATCCAAGCTATAGAAACTATCCCCCTCTTCTAACTCCTCAGTGAACATGACTCATTCATCTAATTCATTAATAAGTTGATACAGTAATGCAAAATAGTTCTATATTTGCACAGGGCAATTAAAACCAGTGTTCACTAACAAAATACAAGCTTTGCTTCACTATCAAATCCCAGTGCTATTTCTTTTCTCTCACTTCTAATCCTTTCCTTCCTTGCAGAACTTTGTCTTCCATGTCAGTATTTGTTCAAACTGTATCAACTCGGCATGGCTTTGCCAAGAATGGGAATTTCACACAGTTTGGGACCTGCCTGAGGACTCTAAAATACTTTATTCTACACAAAGATGGTTCATTTTTTGAATAAGATTTAAGCTACAGTACATACACTGACCTGTGGATAAGCTGACCTAGATATTTGGGTTGATCTTTTCTACAACAATTTCTTGGCTTATTCATGAGTACATACAGTATAAACTTTTCTAATACAACATTTTCCTTTGACATTGTATATAATCACTAGCTGTCCCCTGCCATGCGTTGCTGTGGCCCAGTCTGGTGATCTGGAAAATAAAGTAATGAGAAAGTGTTGGTTTCTAATATATGTAATTTCTTTATGCTTGTGGGTAAACAGTATTTCTTGCTGTTTCTTTGTCAGTGTTGATGTGGAGAG